TCCACGAAAGTTTCTCTGGCATTGATTCCGCCTCTCGCAATTCGAGGTCGGCTCTGGCCATTTGAGCTGCTGCCCGGATGACATCTTTTGAATTCGAGCACTGCAAGAGCGGGGCCGGGAGAAAGAGGAGGAGCTTCCCCGATAATTTGTTCCACGGCCCGAGGAAATGATACATGTCTGCGTGCCCAGGAAGCGATCCGAGGAGGTCCTGGTGCCTGGCAGGGAGAGGGCGCAAGACAGACAGGAACGTGATTTGACGGCCGCTCCATATCACGAGCCGCAGCAAGCGTGAGCGAGTTGGCCTGCAGGTCAAACAGCGACGCGCTAAACATGTTGGTGTATATTCGATCCAACGTGCAATAGATAAGAAAAAACGGTTGTTATCATGAATCTGGGTACGTCTGCGCGCGCATGCTGTTCGCGAAACTTCAGTGTGGCCAGGGGAGAGACGAGCGACATGCTTGGCGAGACCATGAGTATGAAAAGTGGTGTCGCCGCGCGCCCATCACCTGGGGCGCAGAAGTTGAAGTCGCCCAGGATGAGAGAGGCGCCATGCGTAGGAGACAGAGAACAAGACTCGATGAATCGAAGTGTGTGTTGACGAGCGGAGACGGGCAGACTGGGATCGATATGCGCATTCATAATCTGAGCGGTGCCGCGCTGCCCTCGCAGCGCAAATTCACGTACTCGACCCCGCCGGAGTACGCGATGTTGAATATCGCTGAGGCGAGAGGCGAACCGAGGATTAACCGGGATAACGCGTCCACCTTTGATACCGCAGGAAACGAACGTGCCGTATCCGTGCAGACCCTCGGTCTCGATTTTCAGATACTCCAGGTCCTCCGGAGAACCGTGCGTTTCTTGAAGAGCGATGACGGCGCATTTCGGCATGAGTTTGCGTAGTTTCGACATCGCGTTGACGATCGGCTGGATCGGTGACGACGCAGAACCGAAGAGGGTCTGCACATTCCACGTCGCGATAAAGAAATACTCTGAGAACATGAAGGCGTGTCAAGGATATAACTGGCACCGCTGGCGGGAGACGAACTGGAGGACCCAGAAGACGAAGAGGAAGAGGACAACTCGCTGTCAGAGCTGGCGCCGATGGTCATTTTCCATCTCATCATGGCTGCCCTGACGGTGTTGCACAACAGCTGGCTGCGAATCAAAACTTGGATCGGGCGGGGTGGAATGATATTCCATTGCGGCTGCGATCGTGGCCTCAGCAGCAGCAGTGTCGATGCCGTGCTTGACAAGGTTTTCAGTATGCGGTTTGCGCTCGAAGAGGCCTGAAGTAAAGGATGCCCTTGCACCCGTTGGAGCCAATGTTGTAGCCGTCCTTCCATGTACCGTCGCGCGTCATAGCGCTGGTGGCCGCCTGCCAAAGACGGCCCAAGTACTTGTTTTTGTTGCGGATCTCCGAGGGCGCGTCGTAGCGGACGCGCAAGGTGATGGAGGTGTTGGTCGCCCGATCTTGGAACTAGATGCCCGCCGCCCTGTGGTGGTCGATGAAGGCGGTGGCCGCCTTCTCATTGCCGAACTTGACGCGGTCGGACTTATTCAGGTTGCATCCTCTGATCGTGGCGCCGTCGGAGTGGTGCGAGGGAAGCAGGCCGAGGAAGCTCTTACCATGCTCTTCAAGCGTGGCGCCGAGCATCGGGGAGACAAAACCGCTGACCCAGGCCTTGCAGCTGCCGCGGGAGGAAGCGTTCAGAGGGTCCTCGTGCCTGCTGTGGTGGTGCCCCGCCGTCTCGGTGCGCGTGTGCTTGTTGCCGTGCGAGGACAGGCCGAAGGGTTGCACGCTGCTGGCGCATGAGCCAACCGTTCTGGAGAGGGAAGGGACCTTGGACTCGAGCTGGTGGATATTTGCCTGCATTTGGCCCTCGGCAAGAGCGGCAATGCCTTTGGCCTCGTGGGTGTCCAGGCGGGCGGTGAGCGCGGCGTTCTGGACAGCCTGCTCCTCCAACTGGCTCTTGATCGCGGGGATCTCTGCAATCGCGGTGTTGGTGCCTGCGAGCTGCGAGGAGAAGGTGGGGTTCATGCTGTCCATCTTCATTAGCAACTCTTTGATGCCTTTTTTTTTCCATGGCTTCAGCAGCAGATCCCGACATGGCGCGGACAAAATGTCGCGGAGAGAGGGGAGGTGGTGTCCGCTCGGGCACGACACCCGAATCGCTCACGGAAGTGAGCTGCCCGCTCTTGTGCACTCGCCCCAAATCGCACTTGAGCCAAAATGGCCACGGAGGAGGAGGAGGAGACAAAGAAACGTCAACGGGCACCTGTAAACTAAAACTCGTGCGTGCGTAGACCTGAGTACCCAGACTGTGCCGATGAGGGTACCCACACAGAGAACCCACACGAGCGGACATCTGATGAGCCAGAACACCGCTTCATGCCTAGGCAGATGAGCTACGCCAAGTGCGCGAGCGACAGATGTTACAAGCAGGTGGAAATCTCAAGTCTGATCGCATATATGGAACAAAAGGAGGGAGGAGAAACGAGCAACGAGGAAGAAAACGAGGAGACCGGGGAGGAGGAACTGCGTCGGCCCAATTGGGCAGCAACTCGAGCCCGCTGGGGGCCAAATCGCAGATTTCTGGGCAGGGCGGTGCAAAACGCCCAGCAAATACACTTGACGGGACGCCAGCACCGCCCGCGCAGAAGCGGCGGGACCGCGGGCAAATGGCGCGAGCAATCAGGAAAACAACGCTCCTTCAATGCGGCGCGACGCCAGAAGGGAAAATATAGCACATCATGCAACACATGTTGCAAACTACTGCAGCGTAGCATCACCAGCATCGAACTACTTGGAGGACGGATGGGGGAAGGAAAGGAAAGGAGAAGACGAACAAAGAAAGCGTCCAGGGCTTGTGACTTATGAGGTTGCTAAATCAAGCCAGATTTGCGCCTACAACGTCCTCCGACGGAGAAGTTGTCCAGAAGTGGAGCTCCAACGTCCGGGGGAGACCGAGGACGAGAGCTAGCCAGCGTTCCGCCCCCAGGAGGCAAGAGCGGGAAGAAAGAGGCGAGGGGGAAGGGCAGCTCGAAGCGGCTGCCGGATTCAATGTCAGGAGCCTGGCCGGGCCCACTGGGTACAAACAATTCACACGCCCACATTGTGTCACAACCTGCGGTGCCCGGCATCGATAGCGGATGGGCCGGCACGCCCGTCGTGCAAGGGGGGCACGACTAATCCGCCCCGTGCGCGCCCCGCTTCGATCAGGCAGACGTGTAAACCATCGAGTCGACGCTCAGCGACATGCTACTCAAGACCGGGATGTCGCATTGCAGGCAAACGGCCCGCGTTTACAGCGAAGCACTCCCCGGTGCATAACCGTTTGGGCCCTAGCATCCGAATAAGGAGGAAAGAGAGAGGAGAGGAAGAGGAAGAGGACGGAGGAGGGAGGGGAGGGGGGCCGCCCTCGACGAACGATTCGGCCGCATCACTAGCCCTCCGGCTGGCCCGCACCATGAGAAGAACTTGCCCAGTGCTCATTAAACCCACTGGCGGCCAGGGGGGCTGCAGGCATTGAAATATTCACCACAGACTGACTAAACAAAGTCGTGCACAGGCCGGAGATTCGGGCGGTTATTCGCTCGAGGACAGGCGTTGAAAAGCTAGTCGATGCGACGAAACACGCTGGGAGCAAACACGCCTGCACAATGCGATGCAACACGCTGGATGCAACAACTCCATCGCGAAGCGACGCAACACACTGGAAACAAATACGCCAACGCAGCGCGATTATCACGGCAAGGCTGGCTCCAGGCAGTTGGCTGGCGCGCGCCGCAGTTGAAACAAAGGGGGAAGGGGGAGACGTGGAAAGAGGGGAACCATCGCCGCGCTCCGAACCTCACCTGCCTGCCGCGGCCGCACGCCGCCAGATGCTCGAGAGAAGCCTTTCCGACGGCGCCTGGCTAACAGCAGCATCGCGCAGGCCCTGCTGGAGAGCCCGCGCGCTCTCGGAGGCTGGGAGACCCCCCCGCGCGGCGCGCCGCGCTGGTGGCCCGGTAGGCGGCGTACGCGCCGAGCTGTCCTGGAACCACCACGTTCTCCTCGCGCTGGGCGTCGTCGATGCCGATCCAAAGTGGCATGTAAGTACGAGTCGCGGAGAATGTTCAAAGAGCTGCTGGGCTCTCATCGCCACGGCGCACCGCGAATAATGCTCGATGCTGTCGCGCCCGCAGCCGCGCCCCAAACGCAGAAATCCGTCAAGCAGTGCAACAGCCGTTCCAAGCAGTTCGGAAAACGGCAGCGGTGACTCAGGGCGGAACCAGGCGCCCAAGCGCCGGGACATGCGGGAGGAATCTGTCTCGAAGCGCCCGCGGCGTTGGCAGCCCAGGCACCCGTGGAAACTTCCATCGTTCCAAATTTCATGCGTTCCAGCTGTTCCAACGTTCCGTTCGTCATCCTCCTTCCTCCTCCCCCACCTCCTCCCTTCCTCCTCCCCCTCTACGTGCTCCCCGCCTTCCTCGTTCTCCTCTCTTCCCCTCCCCCTCCCCCGCTTCCCCTCCTGGTCCTCCTGCTCGTCCCGCCACTCCTCCCGCTCCGAGCGCCAGCCGCAATATCCGTGACTCCGTAACCTCAGACATCCGCCGATCTGTCTTTTTTCAATTCGGCGCGCCTCAGGGAGGTCCCGACCACCTTCCCGGGGCCAATGTTCCGCCCCGGATCCATCTTTGATGGTCCCAGGGCCTGGCCACGGGCCCCAGAGGCCGTAATCGAGGGAAACCGCCCGGGCCGAAACAGCAGATCGTGGGAGATCTTGGCTTTCGGGCAAGGCTCGGCTCCGAAGGCGGCCGTTCGGGCCTGGCACCTCCTGAACGCCCTCGGCGAGGCGCAGCTACTGGAACGCTCTCCTAGGCTGGAAAGCCTTGGGGAACCGACGAAGACGTCCGAAGCCGATCCAGGACACTGAGGGAAGACGCTGGTGTTGAACAGCGCTTATCGTCGGACGAGCTCTTCGCCCCCCCACCCTTTGCCGGCAGGCCCAGGGCGCCACTCCCCGAAGCCCAGGCTGTTGGCGGCGCGCGCGCGCACGTCGTACTCGCTCCCGGGCTCCAGGCCGTCGATGGCCACCTCCACCTCGCGTAGGGGATGGGGGGGGAGGCAACTCCTCATCCCCCTTGTTGACGATTCGTTTTGTGTCGAATCTCCATTTCCTCCTCCTCCTCTTCCTCCTCTCCTCCACTCCTCTCCTTCTGAGTAAGTCCTCCCTGTCCCACCCCGAGGCGTGTGGGTAGGGCGGGCTGGGCGTTTCGCCTGACACTTCCTTACAAATTCATGATTCTGAAACTTGGGCAGTTTCACGGATTGAGGGCGGGTGTTTTTCAAAATGTGGCTCTCGCCTTAGCACCGTGCGCATTCGTTTCAACCCTTTGCAAGAATTTCACGGATGGCGGGCGGGTCGTTTTCAAAATGTGGCTCTCGTCCCAGCGCCGCGCACACCCGTCCTACAGACTTGCAGAAGTTTCACACGAGGTGGGCGGGTCGTTCTCAAGATGTGGCTCTCGCCTTAGCGCCGCGCGCCTTCGTCTTGACAAGTTGAAAGAGCTTCACGGCTGGACGGCGGCTCCTTTTTCAAAATGTGGCTCTCGCCTGGGCGGCAGCGGCTTTACTAAAGCAAAGAGGCGGTTTTACTAAAACGAAGAAGCGGCTTTATTAAGGCGGGGGGGCGGCTTTAGTACAGGCGCGCCGCTCAGTGCATTCCGGGGAAAAAAACGTTTACTAAAGCGGAAAGAAAGCTTGAGTAAAGCGGAGGGGCGGCTGGGGTTAAACTGCGCGCAGAACTTTCGCTCCTCGCATCAAATCTGGCGCGGGGTTTCAGGGGCGAACGCGGGGGGCAAATTCGCCTGTGGGCCAGGGCCCCGTCGCCGTCGCCGTCGCCGTCGTCGTCGCCGCGACGCCCGCGCAATCACGTCATTACTAACGGCGGGTCGCGCGCGACCGCGCGCGACACTGCGCTCGCAGTTCCGCTCGTCCGACGGGGGCCCAGGAGCACATCTGGTCTTTTTTCCACCTGCAACTCTTTTAAAGTAGTAGTGGAAAAAATACGCCTCTGAAAATCGCACTTGGCCCAAACAATTGCGGCCCACAACTAACATGCACTATTGGAATTCCTAAACCGCGTTGTCCACCTAGTCGCACGGCCATGTTCTAAAATCAGTTCCTCCCCTTCTCCCCTTTCATCCCCCCCTCCCTCCGCCCAAATCCTATCATTAGTCCTTGTGCGTATGTAGCCCTATTTTGCCACCTGGCCGGGGCGTTCCATCCCCCCTGTCCGTCGACCCTTCGGCGTATGGAAAACGCTGCCCTCGTTGTCGCCGTCGTCGTTATCCACAATGAATTGAAGAACCACGGGAAAAAAAAACGTCGTGCGAACCATTTTCCTTTTATCCGTTCCCAACCGGGGGCGGGGTAAGGGGTGGGAGGGGGTGGTAGGAGGCGGGATGGATGGTGGAGAAGTGGGTGTGGGTGAAGAGGGGGGTGGACTGAGGTGGGGTGTGGGAGGGGCGGGGGTGTGGGGGGGGCCTCCGGTCAAAATGCCGCTCGCCCAAGGTCCTGGCGGGTCCCGGAAGGTCGCCACTGGGGTCCTGGGGGTATGTGCGCCTTCAGGGTCGGCGGCGCCGGCCGCAATGCCTTCGCAATGTCAAGCTCGACGCGCTTGTTCCTAGATTTGCCGATGTGGCGTCGACGTTGCGAAATGCGTAGCGCGAGTGGGACGAAGCGCACGTCCCGCGCGACGGGGAGAAATGTCGCTCTCGCCTTGGTGCGGGGTCCGAGGTCTCGCTTACGCACGACGATCATTTTTCGCACGCCAATTCGTCGACGTGCAGGAGGACGAAATTGTCGCTCTCGTCTCGGCGCTGTGCAAATTTCGCCTGGCAGTGGCGCTCCCGCTTTGGCGCGGCGCATACTTTCACTCGCCAAAATTTTGGGCTCCGCGCGAACGGGCAACTTGTCGCTCTCGTGCGCATTTCGTTTGAAGACGGCGCTCCTGCGTGAAAGTAGCGGTGTTGTTTTGGCTCGGCGCGGTTTTCGTCTTCGCCGCGTTTAATCGAAACTGGCCACCCTAAGGACGGCTAGATCGTGCTCCCGCCGCATCGCCGAGCAAAGGTTTCAGAAGTTCCGCTCCCGCTACTGCCCGACCGCGCAACTGCCCTGCGCCAAATCGGCGGAGGCGGGACCGCGCGAGAGCGTCTTCCGTTTGCTAGGGCGGAGCGCGGCCCAGCCCCAATATGAAGTTGTGCCACGACTGACACTTATGCTATGGGAGGAAGGGAGGGTGAGAATGGGCGGAGCCAGCTAACCCCGCTCTACCTGGCAAACTCGACTCCCTACTATTCCTCCTCCTCCTCCTCCTCCTCGTCCCCTCTCCTCTCCCACCTCTCCTCGTCTCCCTACACCCCTCCTCCCCCGCCTGCCCGAGGACGACGGCAGCGTGCGCCTCGTCCTCGTCCTCATCATCGAAGACGACGGCGACGGCGGTGGCGGCGACGACGACGACGGCGACAATGACGGCAACCCACGATGACCAAGACGACGACGCCGACGACCACGACGACTCTGGCACACGCTAACATGGGTTACGGATCCGCGGACCTGGCGCGCGTGCGCCAGGTGCACAGATCCAAATGCCGCCCGATTGGGCGATGGAGCGAGCCTCGTGCGTATAGTAGTGGAACCCGTCCCTACCCTTTATATAGGTCGGGCATGTCCCCGTACATGTGGATTTGGGCGAAAAATTGAATACGCCAAACATGCGCCAAAAGAGTCAACAAATAATCAAAATCGCCCCCAGACTATTAACACTATTTTTGAATATTCCTCCTGTAGAGGAACACGCCCGACTCAACGCTATCCAAACCACTTTGTCCGATGCGTGGACCCTGGAGGTCTGGACAACTTCTCTACAGTCGGTTTTTCATCCCGAATATTTTTTTGACGGTCCCAGGGCCCCGGCGAGGGCCCCCCGGGGGGTGAAAACTATCCATAACTGCGTTGGGCTCGCGGGAACAAGTAGCAAACTACTTGCGCCGGAGACGCCTCGGGCCCAACGTTGAGATTGGCCCAAGGGTCGCCCTCCCGAGTCCTACAAAGCGAAACTCTGCCAAGGCATCCGGGAGACCGGCCAGCCGCCCAAGGCGACCCGCCCTCCAGAGGAACCTCCGAACCGGGCGGGGCCCATGCCCCAGCTACCGCTGATGGGCCCCAAGCGAGGGGTGTGCACAAGTAGGCCGCTGCGTACAGACGGAGTACAATGCACAGCCGGCCACCCAAGAACAGCTACAGCAAAACCGCTGTCACCAGGTCGGGGGGGTGGGGATCGACGCGCGACTTTCGAGCACAGACGTCTACTGACCGTGCCCCGCCCCCGAAGATGGATACGAAGTCTGAGAAAACGTATCTACCAGGGCCGCCAGGAGAAGCTGGCCATATCACAAGAAAGCACACGCCGGCCACCACTGGAAAGCTCTCGGCGGGGCCACTGATGGTTCGAGCCCCGGCGCAAGGCAAAGCAACGGACGCGCCAGGGAGCCAGCGCGTCCCCGGAAGGCTCTCGGCGGGGGAGCAGCCACAGCAACCCCAAGGGTCACACCGGGGAGAACGCACGCCCCCGGAAGCTCTCGCCGGGACCGCCGCCGACCAGGCCAGAGACGGCACGGGCCAACGTGGAATAGAATACACCCTGGCAGTGCGAGCGCCTCGGGCAGCTCATTTTCTTCCTCTCCGTCGTGCACGTCACTGAATCTTTCGACTGTCGCCGACAAACGGCCCACACCCCCCATGCAAGACCCATGGACACAAGCGCAAGGACGCAACGGGGCCCGGACCCCAGCCCCACGACCCCCGCCTCAGTTATGCCCGCTTAAACACGTTGGCTCCAATTTTTTTTGAGCGTCGGATCTCTGGGTAATCCGCGCGCTAGAAGATCAACACGCAACGCGCACATGATTTCACTGAGGTCCGCGCGGATTTCTTGGATCGGCGCCGGAAGCGCCGCTGGGGGGGCCCAGCGCCGATCCAAGAAATCAGTGCGGACCTCGTGAACGTGTTCTTTTCGGCGTTTCGACATCGGGCGAAGGGGGAGGGAGGAGAGGGTGTCTGGCTCTGGACCTCTGCTTAACGCTACTGTTTACAACAGTGCGTCCTACGGGGAGACTCCACCTGAATGAAACAGGCGCCAAGAACAACCAAGATATGCTCTATGATGGGTGAAGATATGGTGCGACGGCCCGCGCCGGTCGGCAAAACAATGAAGGAAACGATCACCTCCGCGAAACTATGTCAACGCATGCTTCTGTTCTTCCGGGCTTCCTCGAGCGACGCCGCCGACGACCGCGGCGACGGCGACGGCGACGGCGCCGACGCCAACGACGGCGACCCTCCTGAGCCGAATGGGTATGCATTGTGTACCCTTCTCGACGATTGCGTGTCATCCTTCCTCAGGGGCCATGCTACACGTCGGTGGGAAGAAGTAAGTAGAAACATGTAGTAGGAAGGCGGATGAAGTGGATTGGGTCCAGGATCTCCCAGATAATAATAAAACGAAGCAAGATAATGTCGGTTCTTGAAATAGGATGGCGCTTGAAGTATATTCGGATCTGGGAATCCAGAAACACCTGCTTTCAACGACAAGCATGTATATCTTCTCTGTGCCCGTCGGTCGGGAGAAGTAGGCAGAAGCATGAAGCAAGAAACCGCGGAAGTAGGTTGGACTTCCGCCCGCCCCCCGAACAGGTGGGAATATTGAAGACCACTCGATCCTTGTGGCAGGAGGGCGCCCAAAGTAGGCTGGGACTTGGGCGCCCACCGACGTGTATCGCTCCAATCTTAGCAGATTGTCCCTGGAGGGAACCCTGACGACGGCGACGCTCCTCCTCCTTTCAGCGAACCCTTTCAGTGAGGGTTCTGTGCCGCGCCGACGGGCGGCGCGGCGTAGCCCGTCAGTCCGACGGCCTCACGTGGACCCCGAACTCGTACTTCCCGACCTTCTTTGCGACGGGCGCCCCTCCTTTGCTCACGAGCTGAGGGGCGCCCGACCTTCTCTTGCCGCGAGGCTCCTCCTCCTCCTCCTCCTCCTCTTCTCCTCCTCCTCCTCCTCCTTCCTCTCTCCTCCTCCTCCTCCTCCTCCTCCTCCTCCTCCTCCTCCTCCTCCTCCTCCTCCTCCTCCTGCGCCGACGCCGACGCCGACGACGCCGACGACGCCGACGAGGGCGACGGCGACCACGGCGACGAGGCCGCCTCACCGCCCGGGCCGCGCTGCGGCGCGGCGGCGGGGCCGTCGGGCCCGACCTCGATGACCACCGCGCCTGGGGACGCCCATCCTCCATCCTCCATCCTCCATCCTCCTCCTCCTCCTCCTTCTCCTCCTCCTCTTCCTCCTCCTCATCTTCCTCCCACCCTTCTACTGACCCAAATCAGGTCAATCAGTCCTCGCAGGACCACCGCACCTGGGGACTCGGGAGCGGCCAAGACGGGGGTGTCCAAGAGGGGGGGGTGCAAACCATGACCGGTGGCGTGTGCGCGGCCCAGCGGGGGGGCCTGGGACGTAATAAAATAAGAAGAGGCGCCATGACATTTGAGGAAAAAACATGGCCCGCGCCATGAAATCCACCGCACCTGGAGACGCGTCGCGGATCTACACCATGCGAAATGCTCAAGAAATCATGGGTTAAGAAATTCATAGTCTCAGAAATTGAATAAAAACCCAGAACTTCTATCAGAATCTTGGGATTTACATTGAAACGTGATGAGTAATCGAGACTCTTGACGAAAACTGAAGTTTTCTTAAGCATCGCCTAAGGTGTACGGACCCAGGTCAGGTCAATCAGTCCTTGCAGGATCCTGCAAAATCCTGCGAGATCCTGCAGGATCCTGCACCCCAGCCCTGGTCCATGCAGCCCTGGCTCTGCAGCACTCTGTAAGATCCGGCGCTCTGGCTGACCCCCGCCTGCATTGACCCCGTCTCTGGAGCCCCGAACGCGGGAGGCAGGGTCGGCGCCGGAGGCGCCGCGCCGATTGGGGTTTCGGGGTGGGGAGGTTCGAGCCTCGGGGTTCGAGAGGTGGCGGCATTCGAACCCTGCCCCCGTCAACCATCGATCCTCCTGAACCGATGGGCGGCGAAGGCAGGGTTCGGATTTCGCCACGTGTTCGACGAATTCCGAACCCTACCCCCGCCGCCCATCGAGTTGCCTGCACCGTTCATCGGCGAGGATAGGGTTCAAATTTCGCCACTGGTTCAAGCATCGGTTCTGGGAGTTCCCTTTCTTAGAGGAATCGAAAACAGCACATTCAATTAAACTGTCGGAGCTTCGCGCTGATTTCTTGGATCTGCGCGGGACCCACCTCCCTGGCGCGGAGAGCTCGTCAGGGGCGGCTCTAGAGGAGACATCTGGGGGGTGCAAAACTGATCCAAGAGGTCTGCGCGGACTCCGAGAGGTTAGGTTTCTGAAGTTGTCTTTATTCACCATATCCAAAGGATGGAGTTCTTGTTGATACTCCTCCTCCTCCTCCTCCTCCTCCTCCCCTCATGGTTATGCTATTTTACGGTGTGCGGTGGTAGTGTATGTTATGGTATGTTATGATATGTTATGGTATGCCATGTTATCGTATGGTAGGTTATGCTATGGTATGGTATGCTATGGCATGTTATGATATGATATGCTGCGGTATCCTATTTTATGGTATGCCCTGCTGCGTTATGTAAATATTATGTTATAGTGTGTCAGTGTTATGATATATTGTGCTATGTTATGCTATGACATGTCATGATGTAATGGCGGTGGTGGTGATGAGGATGCTGATGCTGCTGATGCTGATGAGTGTGGATGATGCTGCCGATGTTGATGATGACGATGATGATCTTGATGTTGCTGCTGCTGCTTCTGATGATGATGACGGTGATGCTGCTGCTGATGATGATGATGATGATGATGATGATGATGATGATGATGATGACGACGGCGGAACATATTGTGTCAGAATGTCTCGAGCGAGGCGCAGTTTGAGCACCCCCAAGAGGGAGCCGCCATGGGGTATTGCACTCCTCCGTTCGCGCCAAACTGGCGGGGATGTCTCGAGCGGTTTGCCTGATTGGGGGCTCACCATCCTCCACTTTCGGAGGAGGCTTTGGGGATGTCTCGAGCGAGGCGCTCAGTTTCGCCCACAAGAGGGGCCAGACTGGATGTCTCGATCGGTTTGTTTGTTTTGGTGGCCAGACTCGAGGGCACATATCCTCCCCAGGATGCCACAGGAGGCACCAGGAGGCTCCAGAAGGCCCCAGGTGGTCCCAGGAGGCCACAGGAAGGCTCAAGAGGCCACATGATGCCCCAAGAGGCCCCAGGAAGCTTCAGGAGGCCTCAGGAGGCTCCCGGATGCTCAAGGAGGCCACAGGAGGCCCCAGGAAGCGCAAAGAGGCACCAAGAGGCCACAGGGAGCGCCAGGAGGCACCAGGAGCAGGAGGCCTCAGAAGGCCACAGGAGTGGCTCCAATCCCATCTGTTTTACGTATGCTCCTATATATTGGGCCTCACCTGGAGCACGAATCCTTTGTGTTTTACGTATGTTTCTACATATTTGTCCTTCTCCTGCGCATCCACTCCTAAGTCTTTTTTCTTATGTTCCTACAATTTGGATTTCCCCCAGGTCCTCGGTGTTTCACATGTGTTCCTATAGCTTGCCCTTGTCCTGTGGCTCCAAGCCGAAGTGTTTTACGTACGTCTGTTCCTGTAGATTGGGCCTCTTCTGGGGCACAATTCCTTCCTAGGAGGCTCCAGGAGGCCCCAGGATGCCACACGAGGCCCCAGGAAGCCGCAGGGGGCCCCAAGATGCCCCAGGAGGCCCCAAGAGGCTCCAGGAGGCCCCTCGAAGCTCCAGGAGGAGGCTCCAGGCTCATCCGCAGAGACGCGCTCGTACTACTGAGACTCATTCACACTCCAACTCGTTAACAATTAGATTCCATCCCAGACCGTCAATACTCAAGCCCGTTTATATTCGAATGTTCTTGCGCCTAGACGCTCGCGGCGGACAGGTCCGTGTTAATGGATGCACATATGGGAAGCTCCACGCAGTGAGTAATTCTTCGAGAACCTCCAGACACGCCCCCAAAGCCCGAGGCCACCGACGACGTCTTCGTCGTCGTCTGTCGTCGTGCTCGAGGCCGTCATCGTCCGTGCTCGTGCTCTTCGTCGTCGTCCGCCGCCGCTGTCCGTTGCTCTCGTCGTCGTAATCGTCGCCCGTCGTCGCCACCGCAGTCGTCTTTGGTCGTCGTCCAGTCTAGATTTGCAAACACCATCATAGGCAATCCCAGGAAGTCCGCCCCTGGAGCGCGGAGCGCGCCAAGAGCCGCGCCGGAGGCGCCGCCAGGGAAGCCCAGCGCCGATCCAGGAAACCAGCACGGAGCTCCGAGAGCATCTGTTTGTGTGCAAATGTTTCTTTTCTAGCTCTTCGTCAATTTGGCACGCACGTTCGAAGACTTCACGCTCTGAGCGTAATCCGCCGTCTTCTCCACCGCGCCTGCGATCCTTCCCTCTTCTGCCTGTGCCCAACTAGGCCCCGTAGCGCCCCTCTGCCGCCTCCGACCGCAGCTTGGACCTGAGCAGCGCGACAACAGTTAGCTTGGCGAGAGACCTGACCATATGCAACTGTGAGTACCGCAGTCGTGAATATCGTCTTCGGTGGAGCTCCCTATGGGGGCACGAAACGTGTGCGGGGTGTGCCAAAGTGGGATGGCGGCGGCACGCGGGCGCCGCCACTGGTTGGAGCTCCCTATGGGGGCCACAAGACGTGACGTGCGCATGGTGTGCCTAAATCGGTGCGGCCGGCGCATGCGAGCGTAGCCTTTGGGGCCTTCGGTGGAGCTCCGTATGGGGCCACGAAACGTGTGAGGGGTGTGCCGAAGTGGGTGCGGCGGGCTCGTGCGAACGATGTTTTGTGGGCCTTCGGTGGAGCTCCTTATGGAGGCCACGAAACGTGTGATGGGTGTGACGAAATCGAAATGGGTGCGGCGGGTGCACGCGGGCGCTGCCTTTTGGGCCATCGGTTGAGCTCCCCATGGGAACCGCAAAACGTGTGAGGGGTGTGCCGAAATGGGTGCGGCGGTCGCATTCGAGCGTAGCCTTTGGGGCTTTCGGTGGAGCTCCCTAAGGGGCCACGCAACGAGTGAGAGGTGTGCCGGAATTGATCCAGCGGGCACATGCGGGCGCTGCCTTTTGGGCACTCGGTGAAGCTTATGGGGCCACGAAACGTGTGACGCGTGTGCCGAAATGGGTGCGGCGGGCACATGCGGGCGCTGCCTTGTGGGCCTTCGGTGGAGCTCACCACGGGGCCACGAGACGTGTGAGGGGTGTATCGAAATGGGTGCAGCGGGTGCATGCGGACGCTGCCTTTCGGGCATTCGGTGGAGCTCACTACTGGGCCACGAAACGTGTGAATGGTGTGCCGAAGTGGGTGTGTCGGGCACATGCGGGCGCTTCCTTTTGGCCCTTTGGTGGAACTTCCTATGGGGGCCACGAAACGTGTGAGGGTGTGCCAGAATGGGTGCGGCGGGCGCATGCGGGTGCTGCATTTTGGACCTTCGGTGGAGCTCCGTATGGGGCCACGCAACGCGTCAGAGGTGTGCCGGAATGGTTGACTGGTGCCGTGCGAACGTAGCCATGTGGGTCGTCTATTGATCATGATGAAGATGATGACGAGGATAATGATGCTGATGCTGATGATGGTGATCCTGATGATGTGGAAGGTGATGATGACAATAATGATGATGATGATGATGATGATGATGATGATCCTGACGATCATGATGATGCTGATAATGACGATGCTGGCGACGATAATGATGACGATGATGATGATGATGATGCTGGTGATGATGATGCTGATGCTGATGCTGCTGATGATGATAATGACGATGCCGATTATAATGACGATGACGATGACAATGACGATGACGATTATGATGATGGTGGTGATGATGATGCAGATGACGATGACAATGCTGATGCCGATGATGTTGACGATGACGAGGGTGATGATGAGAATGGTGGTGGTGGTGGCGATGATGATGATGATGATGATGATGATGATGACGATGATGGTGACGATGACGTCGAGGGTGATGATGACGATCATAATTATGATGGCGATAACGATGTTGATGTTGATGATGATGACGATGACGACGATGATGACGATGATGATGATGACGATGATGACGAGGATGACGACGATGACGATGACGATGACGATGTGATGATGATGCTGATGATGTTTATGATGGTGATGCTGACGCTGCTGATGATCATGCTGATGATGCCGAGGGTGATGATGACGATGTTGGTGGTGGTGGCGATATTGATGATGATGAAGATGATGATGCTTATGATGATGATGATGATGATGATGATGATGATGATGATGATGGCGGTGACGGTGACGACTATGACGATAAAGATGCTGATGACGATAACGATGATGATGACGATGACAAAATGAGGTTGATAAAGATGACGATGACGACGATGCTGATGATGAGGATGATGAGGATGATGATGATGATGATGACGATGACGATGATGATGACGATGATCATGATTATGATTATGTTTATGATGATGATGACGATGACGAAGACGATGCTGATGATGATGATGATGATGATGATGATGATGATGCTGATGATGATGATGATGATGATGATGATGATGATGATGATGATGATGATGATGATGATGATGCTGAGTATGCGGATGAGGATGCTGATGATGCTGCTGCTGCTGATGATGCTGATGCTGATGCTGATGCTGATGCTGATGATGATGATGATGATGATGATGATGATGATGATCCCCCGGCCCTGTCGGCGTGTGGAGGAGGCTGTTCTGTGTGACTCGTCGTCGTCGTCGTCGTCGTCGTCGTCGTCGTTGTGATCGTTGTCGTCGTCGAGCGCGCAAGCCACAGCGAAATTGAGCAACGTTGTAGAGGAGTCGAAGGAAAACCCCTTCTCTTTGATCCCTTCCCCGCGGGGGGGGGTCCCGGGGAAGTCCAGGGGAAGTGGTCAGACACGACTCCCCCCAGGGCGGTTCGGGGGCCCAGAAAAGCCCCAAGACAGGGCAAAAATGACCCAAGATGCCCCCAAGACGGTCCTCGAGGGCCCCGAATCGCCGAAGTATCGGTCCAAGTAGCCAAAGTAGCCTCCAGACGGCTCACAAGGTTTCCAAAACGTCCCAAGAGGACTTCAAAGAGGGCACCAAGGAACAACAATAATCGACTTCCCTCAGCATTTTGAAACATTTCGGCATTCTCGCCTCGTCAGCTTCCCGCCGCTCCAAGACAGGCCAAGAGGCCCCCAAGACTGCCCCAAGGAGCCCCAAGAGGGGTCCAAGAGAGCCCCAAAACGACCCAAGAGGGCCCCAAGACCGTCCAAGAGGCCACCAAGACAATCGAAGAGGCTCCAACGACGGTTGTAAGAGGGAGCCTGGACGGGGGACCCGAACGAACACCTCGAGCCCTCGGCTTGAGAAGCTCTGAGGAGACCCCCAAAGGCCCCCAAGAAGCCAACCCAAGAAGCCCCAAGAGGCCCCCAAGAGACCCCCAGGACGCCCCAAGGTGCCCCCACGAGGCTCCCAAGCGGCCCCCAAGAGCTTCCCAAGAGGCCCTCAAATTATCCCCAGGAGGCCCCCGACAGCTTCGTCGTTGTGGTCGTGGTTGTCGCCGCCATGCAGGGTCGGCGGCATCGGCCGTAAGGCCTTCGCAATAATAGTAATAGAGATGATGATGCTGATGATGATGATGATGATGACGACGACGACGATGACGACGACGACGACGACAACGACGAGGAGGAGGAGGAGGAGGAGGATGATGATGATGACGATAAGGACGTGCGACGCAGGGCAGAGGCAGGGGTGGGGGGAGGGAGGGGGAGGAGGAACGAACGTGGGGCGCTGTCTCTTCAAAACGATACTTAGGAAAAAGCTCCTCGACGGTCGCCCGTCGTTGGTAGCCGTCCCTCGTCGTCGTCGTCCGTCGGTCGTCCGTCGGTCGTTGTCGTCGTCGACCGCCGCCCGCTGGGCGCGCCCTGCCGCTGCGACTGCGGGCGGATCGAGCCGGCGTGGGCCACGCCGCCCATGGCCATGTGGCGGTCCATCGGCCCCACCCGGTAGATCCTCTCGCGGCGGGGCTCGACCAGGATGGAGGGGGATCGAGGATCGAGGGTCACCAGTGTTCGAGGCTCTGTGGCTCTGCGGCGGCTTTGGCTGCTTTGGGCCCTGTGCAGCAAGGCAGACTCCTCCTCCTCTTCCTCCTCCTCCTCCTCCTCCCTCACAAACCGTGTATGCGTATATGAGTCCGCTGCCGTGCCGCTGGGCACGTAGTGGGCATATCCTGCTTCAGGGCTGGACCTAATCGTTGTGTTTCGTTTTGGGTTCGCTCTGTTTTTCTTGTTGCTCGACCTGATTTCCTGCACCTCCATACAAACAAAAAACAGAACACCGCCGAAGTCCAGCAAAACAGCATCTAGGTCCAGCCCTGTCAAGCTTTGCCCAATCTCCTGAGCCTCCGTCCTCAGTTCTGAGGAATCAACTCGGGGCCCAGACCCAGATTGCCGACATCTCTTGGGGCTTGTCGCGTGCCCAAGAGGACCCCATGATGGCCCAAGCGGCCGCAAGACGGCCCCAGAAGGCCTCCCGAGAGACCAATGCGGTCTCAGAAGACACTTCGACGGCCCAAGCCGGCGTCAAGATGGCCCCGCGACTGCCCCAAGACACCCGCCACGCGGCTAAGAGGGCCCCCAAGAAGGTCGAAAGAGACCCTAATGCGGGCTAAGAGGTCCCCAAGACGGCGCAAGAGGGCCCCGAGGGACCCCCAAGACTGCCCCACAGGAGCCCAAGTTTTGCCAAGGCAGCTTCAAAAACGGCCCAAATGAGTTCAATTACGTATAGCTTCTCAAGTAATGAAGACGAACTGTTTTCATCTTCCTCCTCTTCTTCCTCCTGGTTCTCCTCGTCACCCGCATTCTCATCACACTCATCATCCTCATCACGGCTCTCCCAAACATGGGGACACGAAATGTCGCTTGAGACGGCCTCCCGTGCACCCTCGGACAGTCGCCACCCAAACGCTGGGCTGGCACGGCGGTGGGACTTGCCGAAGGCAGCTGGATAGCGAGGTAGACTGAATATCACCGTGGCGCTATGCGCGAAGAGCGAAAGCTTTAACCGCTGACGAAATCAGACCTGCGGTGCTGTGGCAACTGACGTGCGGCACCTCCATTTTCGCTCCCAGGATAATCGGTTACGTTGGAGCGCTTGCCGCCCATCCAGACACTCCACAACCGCAGCGGAAAGCCCTGCCGAAAAGCTCAGCTTTTCAGCAGAGTGGGTGGGTTACGCACATCTACAGTTAGGTCGGGCATGTCCGCCTTCAGGGGGATTTTGGAGGAACATTTAAAAGTAGTCAAAGCATTCCCCAAACATGCGAACGCATAACAGAAACATCGTCCCAAAACTATGTGTCCACCGTTTCTGAATATTACCCCTGTCGAGGGGCATGCCCGGCTTAAATTTACAGACGGCATGTTTGTAAACACTTAGCGCGCGCCTTCGAGCGCGGCCGGCCCTTGCTGGAACTTTGCCAACAACAACAGACCTTCTCGACGGGATTAAACGCCAGCGTACCGCTAACTGGAGGGATAGCTGCCCGTGGGCTATCCGCCAGCCGGTTCGCCGAGTCTGCTAACCAACGTCCGCGTTGTGCCACGAAGCTAGGTAAGACGAAGCCAGGAAGAGGATCAAGTCGGGTGAGGATAAATCGAGAATTTCTGAAGTAAGGCGCCTCTGGAAGATGTCTCGGGCACCACGGCCTTCTGAGAGCGTTCCGGAACGCTCTGAGAGAGTTTCGGAACGCTTCGAAACGGATTCATCCTCGTCCCAGCCCCGTCCGACTAAGGGTCCCGAGGGAAACGGGTCCTGACCCCGCGGCTTCCCTGGGGGCAAGCTTTCATCCTGAGACATTTGCTGACGGTAACAGGGCCTGAAATGGACTCCGAAAGGGCGAAGATAACGAAAACCCCATGGACCCATTGACCTCAAGATCCCTTTCGCTGGGGAGAAATGGGGATTGCGTTCAAGGAGGCCGGACACGCGCCACTACCTTCGCCTCATGAGGGTTCCCGGGGGCCCATTCGGGCGGCGTCCTGAGCAGCCCCCTCACCTGTCTTGGCAGGTGTTGGCCCCCCAATTCGGCTCGTTTCCGAAGACGATGTTGTAGCAGTTCTCCAAGGTCGCTTCGCACTTCAGTGGGTGGAAGGCCACCTTCGACTCGGTCGAGCAGTAGCTGGAAGCACCGTCGGGCTTCAAGATCTCGCCGTCGTGCAGGAATCCAGCGCCGACCGCGTCCATGCAGCCCTTCATGAAACCATCCTCCCCGCTGTTCAGTCCAATGGTGTCTACGCAGCCGGCCCCGTTGTCAAAGTACGCCTGAACAGCCTTGCGGGAGAATATCTCCACCGCGCCCAAGAACTGATTGTTGGACATGGCCGCATCCTGGTCGGTGTTCTTGATGTACAACATGGCGTCCTTGGCCGGGCGCAGCTGGTACAGGTGGTTCCGCAGTCGGTCGGGGAAGAAGGCGCAGTCGGCATCCGTCTTCACTGTCCAGTCGTGCCTAAGGAACTTCCCCTCCTTCTGAACCTCAGGAGGGCGCAGACATCAGAGCGAGAAGCTTCGTAATCATAGACTTCTCGAAGGTGCGCGCGGAGCTCTTGGATCGGTGCTGGGCCTCCCTCCCTGGCGCGCGGGGCCTGCCAGGGGGCGGCGCCAGAGGCGCCGCCAGGGGGCCCAACCCCGATCCAAGAAATCCGAGCTGACCTCCGACAGTTCATGCTCATTGAGGCTCCTTCTATTCGAAGCATGCAGACAAGGCGACGATCAAGGGAAGACTCGCTGAGGAGCCCAAGCCAACACCCGAAGAGCATCTGGGGCAACCGCTGGGCCAACCCTGCCCGTGCAGCCAGCCCCGCGAGCTCGCAGGCGTGGCGACGAAACTCTGCCAGGTCAGCGTTTTCTGATTGGGCGTTTCGGCTTTGGGCGGAAGAGGGGGGAGGGGGGAGTCTGGCTCCAGACATTCTGCTTGCTGCGACTGTTTGCAGCACTGCGTCCTATCGGGGGAGGCTCCACCTACTCGAAGCAGGCGCCCAAAACAGCCAAGATCTACTCCATGGGGGGTGGGAGGTGGGGTGCGAGGGCCCGCGCCGATCGGCAAAACAATGCATAAAACAACGACTACCAGCTCACTTGATTCGGGCGTACCTTGATGGCCCCCAGCTGGCTCCTTTAGGGCCCCAGGGGGGCCCCATGAGGGACCCTTTCGTGAACCTTCGGGGCCCCAGGGGGCCCCTTGAGGGCTCCCTTCCTTCAGGTTTCTATCCTCCCTCCATGCATCGGCCCCCCATGGCGAAGCAAGCAACCATTTCGCTCAGGCAATTGCCCGCTCGGTTGCTTTACCCATCATTTGACCTCTCGCACGTTTCTCGACGCCGGTCCATCCGCGCAGACAGGGGGGGCAGCACTGTGCGCGGCTGCCGCTGTTCGCGAGGGCGGTGGTGGGTCTTCGGCCCCACGCGCTCCGGCCATGGCGCTGGGCTCTTGGAGGCAAGCTGCGTCCGAGATGGTGGGCTTGCTGGCCCAAGTGCAGTCAACCAGTATAGTAAGGATACGCGATAAGGATGCAAGGGCCTTGGACGCCCATTTCGAAGCTTTTCGAGCGGGGCGCGGCCAACGAAAGAGGCGAAAGATGGACCGAGGAGGCCAGGATGCAAGGGTACCCTTGGGAAGGTTGCCTATCCTTACTATGCGGGTTGACTGTAGTGGTCACTGTGATCGTGGTGAAGACCGCGATGAAGGTCACGATGGCTACCCAATTTCTGCTCATGCATGTGCGCGCGGAGTTCGGATTCCGCTCCCTGGTATCGCGCCGCCACATGAAGAACAACCGCAGCGCACGCAACAATAGTCGTTGGCCTTGTTTGGGAAAGCTTTTTCTCAATCACTATCGGCACGGTCCGACCCAACCTGGTGGTGGCAGTGGTAGGGGGGCCGTTGTGTCCATCCAGACCCAAATCCCAGCAGGTTGGGCATACTTTAAAACGTAGCTGGTGGAAACCTCTTGTTCGGTCGTGTACCTGTTCGCGGAGTGCTGTCGTCGTGGTGTGCTGCCGCATCTTCTCGTCCCTAGGCAAGATCGCGCGATGGCCGAACCCCTCGAAATCCCATTACGAAAAGCCCGATGGAAACTGCTGGCGAAACGCCACGCCAAAACGACATCGGGAGGTTTCTCAACGACCGCCGCATCCATGCACCGGCATCGATGCTGGCCAGGATCGGTTCTGCCACCTGCGGGCGTCGAAGACCTCGAGAACAGGGGCGCGAACTTGCTCGTAAACGTTTTCGATCTTGAAATCAGGACCGCCGCGTAAGCTCAGTAAACGTGTACCGCATACTTCGTGATGAATCTTCGTTGATTCAACTGCGAAATAACACCGTTGGTTGAACCTCCAGAGGACATGTTGGACGGCCCCTGCGTCGCGTACTACAGGAGAACCGCGGGAGGTATCCGGCTGGACTCATTCGAAAGCAGCGGCAAAGGTGACCACTAACATCGGGCAAAGTGACCCTTGCTTCTGGGATCCGGAGCCACTAAATATTCGACGTGCATTTTTCGACGTGACCACTGCATTGTGGTCATGACTTTTTGTTCAATCAGGGACGCGATTTAAAGGGACACGCATTTGCACGTCCACGTTGCGAAATTAGGTTTTGGTTAGATATGGCAAGCTTCGGTTCCTTTGCATGGTGCGCGGCCTTTGACGCGACGCGGCTACGGCGACAGGAGCGGAGAGCTCTCCGATGGAAAAGGCGATCAAGCCCAGAGGCAAAGTTAACTTGCGCACCGCCGAGAATCTGGATCCCAACTGGACTTGGGAAAGCGTGTGAGATTCTCCCCCCCCATAACCCCCCCAAACCGGCAATCCGACCCCCCCCCCGGGCCGCCGACGGCCCACCCCTGAATTCATCAGGGGCGGTCCGGGCTCCGAAGGCTCGGTCTGGAACTCCAAGACACCCCGTCAAGCCTCCCAAGACACCCCCAAGACGGTCCAAGAGAGCCCAGACTCGCCGAATGATCGATCCAAGATACCCAAGAAGCTGCGAAGACACCTCAAGAGGTCTCCAAGAGGCCTCCCAGGAAGCTCCAAAAACAAAATCGTCAAATTCCATTGGGGAAACAAACATTTCTAGCATATACAACATTTCGGCCTGCGCGGTGTTGAAGAACATCCAAGAGGCACCCAAAACCGCCCCACGACGGCCCAAAACCCTCCCTCGAATTCCCCATGACGGCTCTGAGGGCTCCACGCCGGCCCCAGAGGCGCCCAATACGGCCCAAAAGTGCCCCCAGCATGCCCCAGACAAGGCCCAAGAGGGGAACCTCGAACCGACAATAAAAAATTTCCGCCCGAAGGGACTCCCAGGAAGCCCGAAGAGGCCCCCGAGAGGCCCTCAGGAAATTCAAAAGAAGCCTCCAAACGGCCCCCAAGAGCCTTCGAAACTGCCTCCAAGAGGCTCGCGAGAAGCCACACCACGAGATCCCAACGGATAGCCCCAAGGCTTCACACCCACAACCCAGGCACAGCGGCCGGATGTGCCGAAGGCCACGAGACACTCTCACGGAGTCCAGCGGTAGCGACAATGCCACCCCAGGCAGTCCGATCCACCGCTTTTATAACCATTTATTTCCCTTGGCCCCCAAGCAGAAACATCGACCAACTCCCTCCTTCTCTTTTATTCCCTCCTCTTCCTGTTTCCCCTGGCGTAGCCCTCGGGAACCTGCCTAGGAGCCCGGACGGCCCAAGAAGAAGTCGTGAACCAAAGACGGGTGATCTCGGAGTGTGCCGACCCGGGGCCCGGGCCGCCAGTACCACGGCATATTATACACATGTGTCTCCTGTCCTCCCATCGCGTCCAAGACATCTCAAAAGGCCCCCAAGTGGGATGCAAGAAGGCCCAAGGGCCGCGGTTTCCAGAAGACCTGGGAAGCGGTATCTCGGCAACAAAAACAAAACAAGGGGTCGGCGGATGTGGCGTAAGCCTGCAGAATTAAGTCGGGCGTGTCCCCCTATAGGGGGATTTTCGACGAAAAATGAAACATACCTCAAGAATATTCCCAAATGGTCTAATTAGCCTGGCGAAGGACCCAACCATATGCAGTTGAGAGTACCGCAATTGTGAATATCTTCTTCGGTGGCGCTCCCTATGGGGCCACGAGCCGTATGAGGGGTGTGCCGAAATGCGTGGCAGTGTACACAACACGAACGAAGACGATAGGTCCGAATATGAAAGCTTGAGCGCGTGCGAGTCGGATCGCGAGCGAGTCTGATTATGAATGAATCTGCGCGCGATTGATTCTATTCGCATGAATGCGTGCATGGATACGCCCAGTGTAAATGTATGTATACGACTGTGAACAGTTTGGGTCTGCGTGACTCTCGGTACTCGTGACTCTGAGCGTCGCCTCTGCAGGGGGCTTCCCTGGGAACCCCGACGGCAGCGCCCGCGCGCCGCGACGCCCATGTCGGCACGCCACACACCTGGTGTGCGGGACGCATGCGGACGGCAGCACTGGGGCCTTCGGTGGAGCTCCCTGTGGGGCCACGAAACGTGTGAGGGGTGTGCCGAAATGGGTGTGCGGGACGCATGCGGACGGCAGCCATGGGGCCTTCGGTGGAGCTCCCTATGGGGCCACGAAACGTGTGAGGGGTGTGCCGAAATGGGTGTGCGGGACGCATGCGGACGGCAGCACTGGGGCCTTCGGTGGAGCTCCCTGTGGGGCCACGAAACGTGTGAGGGGTGTGCCGAAATGGGTGGCGGGACGCATGCGGACGGCAGCCATGGGGCCTTCGGTGGAGCTCCCTGTGGGGCCACGAAACGTGTGAGGGGTGTGCCGAAATGGGTGTGCGGGACGCATGCGGACGGCAGCCTGGGGCCTTCGGTGGAGCTCCCTGTGGGGCCACGAAACGTGTGAGGGGTGTGCCGAAATGGGTGTGCGGGACGCATGCGGACGGCAGCCACTGGGGCCTTCGGTGGAGCTCCCTATGGGGCCACGAAACGTGTGAGGGGTGTGCCGAAATGGGTGTGCGGGACGCATGCGGACGGCAGCACTGGGGCCTTCGGTGGAGCTCCCTGTGGGGCCACGAAACGTGTGAGGGGTGTGCCGAAATGGGTGTGCGGGACGCATGCGGACGGCAGCCATGGGGCCTTCGGTGGAGCTCCCTATGGGGCCACGAAACGTGTGAGGGGTGTGCCGAAATGGGTGTGCGGGACGCATGCGGACGGCAGCACTGGGGCCTTCGGTGGAGCTCCCTGTGGGGCCACGAAACGTGTGAGGGGTGTGCCGAAATGGGTGTGCGGGACGCATGCGGACGGCAGCCCTGGGGCCTTCGGTGGAGCTCCCTTGGGGCCACGAAACGTGTGAGGGGTGTGCGAAATGGGTGTCCGCATATGGGGGCTTCGGTGGACACGAAACGTGTGAGGGGTGTGCCGAAATGGGTGTGCGGGACGCATGCGGACGGCAGCCATGGGGCCTTCGGTGGAGCCACGAAACGTGTGAGGGGTGTGCCGAAATGGGTGTGCGGGACGCATGCGGATCTCCCTGTGGGGCCACGAAACGTGTGAGGGGTGTGCCGAAATGGGTGTGCGGGACGCATGCGGACGGCAGCATGGGGCCTTCGGTGGAGCTCCCTGTGGGGCCACGAAACGTGTGAGGGGTGTGCCGAAATGGGTGTGCGGGACGCATGCGGACGGCAGGAGGGAGGAGGGGGAGGAGGAGGAGGAGAAGGAGGTGGGACGCGGGGCGCTGTCTCTTCAAAACGAGGACCCAACACCACAGGATGGTTGGGAAAAATACTCAAAACATAGTCCCCAGACTATTTTTTAACTCTTTTTGAATATTCCCCCTGTAGAGGGACAGGCCCGACTTAACTATAGAATCTGGATCCCAAATGGACCTGTGAAGCCCAGTAGACAGGCTTTGTTCAGAGGACGCTTGCCCCTGGCCGAGCGAGGGCCTGAGAGAGCTGGGAAACCTCGGCACAGAACTCTGAGGGAACAACGACGGTCCCGGAGGTGGGTGCGAGTATTTCCCACGCCTCCGTCGTGACTTGCTCAATTCGAGGCTCCTGAGAGAGCTGGGAAATCTCGACACAGAACTCTGAGGGAACCTCGACGGTCCAAGAGGTGGGTGTGACAGACAGTGACATAAACATGAAAACTCGGAGGTCCGCGCGGATTTCTGGGATCGGCGCTGGGGCCCCCCGGCGGCGCCTCCGGCGCCGCCCCTGGCGCGCTCCGCGCGCCAGGGAGGGGGGTCCAACGCCGATCCGAGAAATCCGCGCCTCTGTAGGGGTCCTAGCGGATCCATATGGTTAGGTTAGGTTTGTCGCCGATTTTCGCGGCACGCCCGGGTGCCCGGGTGCCCGAGGGAGCCCGGGTGCCCGCGGGTGCCCGGGGGGGCCCGGGGGCCCAGGGGCCCGCGGGTGCCCGGGCGTGCCTGGGGGTGCCCTGGTGCCCGGGTGCCCTGGTGCCTGGGTGCCCTGGCGTGCCCGGGGGTGCCCTATAGCCCTATAGCCCTATAGCCCAATAGCCCAATAGCCCCACAACTCTATAGACCTATAGCTCTATAGCCCTATAGCTCAATATTCACCAGTGCCCGCGGGTGCCCGCGGGTGCCCGGGTGCCCGGGTGCCCGGGCGTGCCCGGGGGTGCCTGGGGGTGCCCGGAGGTGCCCTATAGCCCTATAACCCAATAGCCCAATAGCCCTATAGCCCTACAACTCTATAGCCCTATAGCTCTATAGCCTTATAGCTCAATAGCCCTATAGCCCCCCTAGCCCTATAGCCCTGATTGGGTTTTTTTTCTCCGGTATCATTATGTTTATGTCAATTTTTGTTCCCCTATGTTAATATTTACACAAGCCTCCGTCGTGACTTGTTCAACTCGATGTTCCCAAGAGTCCCCACCCGTTCCCTGGGGTCGGCTTTTGATCCTGAGCTGCTTGGTGGCGGTCCTCGGTCCCCACGACGGCCTCCCGATGTCGAAAACTGCGAAAAATTGCGTCGCAACTTTCTTGAGTCGCCCCACCCTGAGATCCGACGGAGCGACAAAAATTACAACGCCGCGAAAATGCACGAGCGGAGCCCTGGACCCCGTATTTCTGCGCCATTTTTGAAGCTCATCGATCTGGGCGGTTTCCAAGGCGCAAAACCAATCGAAGACGCCAGGCTCCAAAATTGTGACGACAAGATCTCAGGGCAGGTCTGGAACCGAAACCTGCTGCCAGACGCTCACGAACACGTCCGTGTTGACCAGCGTCGCCTCGCCCGTGTCCCACCCAGCGGAGTTGGACTGCCAGGCGTCGTACACCGAGGACTCGTTGCAGCCGAAGACGCCCGAGCCAAACTTTTTCGCAACCTCTCATCGCCGCCAGACGCCGACGCCAACGACGCCGACGCCGCTGAGGATACCGTCGCCAACGCCAGCGCCGACGCCAACGATGCCGACGTCGCCGCTGGACGGCGACACAACCAACGCTGACGCCGCAGACGACACCGCCGCCAGAGCCGGCGCCGGCGCCAGCGACGCCGCTGACGACGCCGCTGCCAACGCCGGCGCGCCGCCAACGCCAGCGCCGCCATCACCAGCGCCGCCGCCGACGCCAGCGACGCGCCGCCGGACGCCCACGCCACCGACGCCGCTGACTACGGCGCTAATGTAGGCCTACGAAAGAAACCTTACAATGAAATAATGTAAACAAATCAACATGTTCTTAGGACATAAAGCCGGTGGGTGCACTAAAAAAAAGACCGTATGAGACAGGAATGTCTGAGAACATTTCGTGCACACCACTAAACAAGCTATTGGAATAATTTGTTGGTTTGCCTATGGGCAGGTCAGGACGCTTGACCACTGCTTGAGACGACGGCGGCGCCGGCGACCACGACGCGAACGACGACGACAGCAACCTCGACGTCGACGATCAGGGGTGGACAGAGCCTCCTCCAGCTGAACACCCTTGAAAGAAGCGACCCTGGACCAAACCGGGCATGCCCTTCTATCAACCATTCCCTTCTATCAACCTCGTCTTAATAGACGACGACGGCAGCGGCCTCCATCAGCTTGGTCTCCTCGCTGTCGGGAATTATGGCCATGAAGCAGAACATCGAAGTGCCAGCCATCTCTTCGCCCTCTCCAGCGGGCGACGCCTGGTACTCCCCGCGATTGCCACCCAGGACGGTGCCGTCCCAGTCCTCTGGGATGGGGATCTGCTGAGAGGTCCTGCCAGAGGGTCGAAGCAGAATGGCAAAAAAGTGCGCAATCATGTTTTCCAGCGTGGACCCCAAGCAGTAAGTTCTGTCGATCCTGATGTGTCAGCATTGTGGCGCAGGCCGTGGTGCAGGCAGTGTGGTGCGAGCCCTGCGCGGTGCAATACTGGGGACACCGAGAAGTACCGATACCGCTACTCCCCGGACCTCTCCTGGGGTGCGTTCTGACCAGAATTTTGAGCCGAATCCAGCGGTGGCGACGAGGGCCTCCCAGGAGCCCCAAAAAGGGGAAAACGGGTGAGGGGTAGAGGTATGGTCCCTGCTCCTCTTCTGATATATGCGCGGTGCAATCTGCGTGGTGCAAGCTATTCCCACCGCAGCTGGCACGAGGCACCCACGGGCAGCCACTGGGCGAAAACCCGGCAGACCCCAGGCTAGAGCACGGGAGCCCACGAGGCGCCCGCAGGGCGAACCTCCGCTGGACCCACCAGGACACCGTAGAGGCCAAGTGAGACATCCCACAGTGGAGGCCAGCTCACAAGAAACCTTCCAGAAGAAACCCAACCCTGAGACCCCAGGACGTCCACTGATTTTTGGTGTGGGAGCGTCCCGCTTCCCGTAGCTGCTACGGGAAGCGGGACGCTCCCGTAGCAAGACCTTCGAACCCCAATAAAGCCAGGGCACCCTGGAGGGAAGCAGGGTGTTTCTTGGCATGGGTCTCTACTGTAAGTGTGAACACTGTTTTGGGAGAGAACTTCGGATGGCCGCACAGACTTGTTGGAACGGCGCTGGGACCAAGACATCTTCGCGGAACTCCGCAAACTCATAATGTTCATGCGGCTTTTGTGACTTGAGGAGGGGGGTACCGGCTGAAGAACGTCGGCCTGGAATCGGCGACAGATCGCCGATAGGCCGCGAATAGCAAAATCGCTCGCTGCTGGGCAAGGTGGGGTTTCCAAGCTTCGATCGGCCTTGTACAAGCAGGCTAGAAAACATGGAATTGGGGATTCCGTCGAAGTGGAAGTGGCCAGGGTCGGGGAAACACCAGCAAGGGCTGCGGCGAGCACGAAGAAGTTGGGATGGGGTCGCCAGGGCTGGAATAATTCAAAGACAAACTAGCCAGGGGTGCAAACTGAAAGGGCTGGCCCCAGCCACTTTTTCCAGCCTCCATGTAGTGGCATGGGGGGTTGATGCTTCCCCTCGTTGGCCAATCCCCCCGTTTCGCCGCACCCTGGGCTCCAGGTGGTCTCGGAGCTGGTCTGCAGGCACCCGGCGAAGTTCTCGTCCTTGACCACGCACTCGTGGCCAGTGTTGCAGCAGAGGTGCGTGTCAGAGCACGACTCGCCGGAGAAGGAACACGTTTTGGAGATGTTCGTCCGCTCCCCCAGCTCCTTGCAGGACCAGCCCGCCTGGTCGCTGTCCTTGTTGCAGGAAGGCATGCAGGTGGACCACGTGCTGTCTTTCTGGAAGCACTGCATGCCTTCGGCCCACCTGGCCTGGCTGCAGCACTTGCTCTTACTGCAGTCTTCCCCGGGAGCCGAGCACGGGTCCAACACGCAGGCCGCACCGTCCCACATGCAGTGCGAGTCCGGGCAGGCCTCTTTGCTGGGAAAGACGGAGCACTCTGCCAGGCACGCGCCAGTCTCGTTCATCCACATGCAGCGGCCCGACGGGCACTCCTTCGCGCTCCCATAGCTCTCACATCCCGGCAGGGACCGTTCGCCGAGCTTCTTGCAGCTCCACTCGCTGAGGTGGAAGGTGCCATACTCGTCGTACTCACCCTCGGTCTCGCCCTCGTGCACGCCCGGCTCGCACGTTTTGTTGCTGAGGCACACGGCGTAGAACTCGCCCTTCTCCCAGCACTGCAACCCGCCCTCGCCTCCATCCAGGCAGCACTTCGCGTCCGTGCACGCGCCGCCCTCACCGGCGCAAGGAGGCTTCTCCTCTGGGGCCTCGTCGCCATCGTCGCCCTCCAGTGACACCAACTTATCCGAGCCTTTGCCCACCGCCGGCCTGTTGTAGACGCTCGCCTTGCGCGTGGCGAGGCCGCCGAGCAGCACCAAGCCGCACATCGCGCCCAGGCACAGCCGAAGCTTCGCGCTCTGCGACACGCCGCCGCTCGGCGCGGCGACCAGCGGCGCCTCTGCGCCCGCCTCGGTCGCGGTCCCCGACTCGGCGTCGGACGCCTCCATCGGGGCGGGCATGGCCTGCTGTGGGAGCAGCAGTTTCGGGCGGGGTCGGCTGCGATGCGTGCAAGCCTGAGCCGAATTTGCTGCGGTGCTGGCTGAGCAAGGGCCGACCGACCCGGCATTCCTCCAGGCCTAAAACCAAATCATGTTCTAAATTCTCAAGCCAGAACCGATCTCTCTAGATCATGATACCGATGAACGACACAAGTCGGTTTCAGCGAGACACGTTCTGGCATCATCTCGCGCAAACACACAGTCTAAGGCGGGCAGGTCAGGACGTTTTGCCACAGCTTGACGTGGGCCGCCCGTACTTGAGCGATCTCTGTCGCCCAGGGTCATTACCCAGAGGCCATCGAGGGGACCCCTTACACTCTGGGGCCCATCGTGCACTCACGGATGCCGCGCCGAGGCAGCCCGAACTTGCCGCACGCGACGTGC